AGTTCCAGGGCATTTTAAAACGGGGAATTCCACAATTAGTATGTTTTCTTTTAAAAATACATACATATGTATATAATCAAACGTAATAGCTTAGAATAAAATTTCAGTAGTTTTTTTTTGGAAAAAAGGTGAATAGTTCAAACATGGTTAGACAGCGTGAACAAAGCTCAAATGAAGTAAGGAAGTTAATTATTAGTGATTTTGAAATAGGAAAAATCATTCGGGAAATCGCAGAAATTGTGAGCAGACCCCGCCCGACTCTGCATGACGTGATTAAACGATTCAAACAAACAAAATCCGTGGAAAACATAAAGAAGTCTGGACGACCGAAGTTGTTTTCGACCGCAGATGAGCGGTGGATAGTGCAGCAAATCAAAAAAAAAAATCCAAACCTGAGCGCTCCCAAGCTCTCAACAGAAGTTTTGCAACATCTCAATATAAATTGTAAACCGGAGAGTATCCGAATAGTCTTACGAAAAAATAATTATAATGGAAGAGTAGCACGGGAGAAACCATTTATAAACGAGGTTAACCGAAACAAAAGTATAAAATTTGCAAAATGTGATGGGGATAGGGATTTTCAACTCTGGAAACAAGTTTTATTTGCAGATGAAAGCAAATTTAATATATTTAGGTCAGATGCATAGTCGTATGTTGGGAGAAAACCGAATAAAGAGTTGGTAGAAAAGAATTTACGTCCGACTGTTAAACACGGGGGGTGGCTCAGTAATGGTATGGGGTTATATGTCCGCAGCTGGTACTGGTATTTTACATACATACAAAAATAACGTAAATTATTGTCCATTTATTTTTAAATATATTTATAAATCTACTTTTATTTACTTGAACTTTAAACCGAATTTTCACAGAAACCCAAATAAATATTTAGATCAAATGTGGATAATCGAAAATTGCATAGGAAAGCAATACGAATTTTGCGGAAAAAAAGAAAAAAGTCAGGAGGTGTGAGTGTGAAGAGCTTGAGAAGTTGGCTGACAGGAGCATTGCTTGAAAATTCTACGAAAAGTTGCGGTGACGTACAGAAGGTTCCAAGGTCGCAGCAAGCTCTTGTAGAAACCAGAGAGGTGACACAACAATTGCTGCCCAGAGTATACGGAATTTATGGAGAGAAGACTTCTCCATACTTCTGAATGGCAGTGAAAATGGAACACCAGAAGTTGGCTTAACCGATTCTCCAACCGATTCTCCAACCGATACCCATTTAACGTATATTCCACTGTCCGAATATGTAGAAGTTCGAATAGCAATTGCACACTTGAAATACTACAAATTGGCGGGGGACGAGCTGCCGTCCGAGATATTCAGATACGGCAGTAAAAACTGACAAGACGCATGCATCAGCTATTTAGCAGAGTATGGTTGGATAATTGGAACCTAAGTGTGCTCTGTGCAATTAATAAACGAACAGACCCCAGTCGGTGCCATTTACTGTGGCATAATCCTCTTCAATTTCGCATATAAGATCCTAAAGAGCGTTTTGTGTGTCAACAATTCGATTGCACCTGAGCTGTGTGGCTTTAGACCCAATAAACACCACTCACCACACTTTGGAAAAGACTCGTGAAAAGAGGATCGACAAAAACTACATCTTTGTTGATTTTAAAGCAGCCATCGACAGGATGAAAAAAGCTGCTATCCCCGCAAAACTTATACGGCCTTGTAAACTGATTTTAAGAAACCCCAAAGCTCCGTCAGCACCGTAAAGGACCTCTCCCAGCCGTTCGATACCAAACAAGGTTTCATAAATGGTGATGATACCTCAAACAGGAAAAATAAGCGGATCGTATGGGTCTGATGGCGTACGAGAACAAGACAAAATATCTCCTGTAATCAAATAAACAGTCATTGGATTCACAACTCGGCTGCAACGTCACTGTTGACAGTTATAACTTTGAAGTCGTAGATAACTTCGTTTATCTTGGAACCAGCATCAGCACCAACAGCAGTGCTAGCCTCGAAATCCAATGGAGAAAATCTTTTTTGCCAACTGGTTTTAGTTTGCATTGAGTAAGTAATTGAAAAATAAGGGCCTCTCTAGACGTACAAAGACCAAACTCTATAAGTCGATGGAACGATAAGCTGTACGAGCTATGGGTCGACATTGGCATACGTACATAGTTCAGCGAATCAAGAGATAGAGGCTATGCGGGATATGTGGTGATGTGGACCGGATGGATAAGAATACTACAACTTTGAAAGTTACCAATGCAGTACCCGCCGGTGGTAGCACAGGAAGAGAAGGACAGATGGAGAAGAATAAACGCAAAACAGCAAAAGGAAGGAATAAAGGGCGCGTTATTATGAACTCAACTATAATCGCGTAAGCCGTGCTTATTAAATATGTAATCGGATGCCGAAATATGGATTTAAAAGGCATACAAAACCTTAAAAAGTGTTATTAATTTAAAAAATTAATTAATATTTATAATATCCTACACCATTTTTTTACAACTTTTAGTTGTATTATTTATTGCTTCCTCTTCACCGAGATTAACCGTTTATGGGATTTCAACAACTAGTGTTTAACATGGATAAGCGGATGCCGGTAGCCAGTGTAATCAGCATATGAACAAAGTGCGCCTAAATGCATGCTTTGAAAATCACCGTAGTCTGATTGAGCTTATGCTGTAAAATATTTCCAATTCCTAATAGGAAATATTTCACATTCATACTATTATATGTTAAATTTTCAAGTGAGTGAAAATATTAAGAATTTATTGGAATTGTCGAAGTTTTTCCGAAACAAAATAATTTTAAGCAAATTTTCATTTAAAATAAAAATAATAAAAAATAAACTGTACTGATAAACATACAAAATAGTTGCTTCATTTCTTGGTTGCGCTAACTTAAAAGCTTACATATGCCAATATTAACAGAGCAATATTTGCGATAAAGAGGTCGAAATGTGTGTGTTGGGTCCGATATGTGTTTGGTTAGATTAAATATATTTTTAATACTCTGCATGTGTATTTAAACTGAATTTAACGAAAATGAGAATTTTTTGAATTACATTTCAAGTTTGCTGATATATGTATGTAATGATATATGTATGTATATAATTGACGCTTTGTAATCGCTGAAACGATTTTCGGCAGAGCTCTTCGTCCAATTTGTGGTTTTGCGTCTTGGTGTTTTTCCAACAAATGGAGCGACCTACAGTTTATACTAAGTCGCTTCCGAATGGCTGATGGCTTTTTTATGAGGAGCCTTTATTTCTTGTCCGAAATACACTCGGAGGGGTGGACATACCCTGCCGAGGGGCGACCGCAACTAGAAAATTTATCTTAATTTTTTATTATTTATATTAATTTTATATAACTTTTGGCTGTTGGTCGCACGGGGATTCGAAACCAAGCCTTCCGAATGACAGTACGCAATGCTAACTACTTGGCAAACCGCGGCCGCTGAAATAAACAGAGAGACAAATCAATAGATTACAAAGAACTGTCGTCAGAGCCAAGTAAATATCCCAGCTTCTTCAGTTGCAAAGACACTGGAGCATTAAAATATTTTAAAAGTGTATATAAAATTCAAAAAGATCTGAAAAGTTCTGAGGTAACAATATTGTTGTAGGATATGTAGTTCATCGATAAATATGTTAGATAGTTAGAGCAGTTGAAAATATTTGCAAAAAGTGTAAACGCTTACTGGTAAAATTAAACGACTTTCCGGTAAAACAAAAAAAAAAAAAAAATTATACCAGTTATTTAAATTCAATAATACAACAAATTAAAAATGTTTTAGAAAATGTCTAAAATATTTGAAATTTTTTCTTCAAACGCTTTCTTGCCTATTACAATAGTTGAAATTGCAACTTAATGAAAAAATAAATTTTTAAAGTTTTCTACATACCAAAAACGCAAATAATTGAAATGAATCAAAGCATATTTACTAGTAGTACATTGGCCAAAACCAGACAAATAACTTTTTTTTTCATCTTCAAGCTTATTTTTCTGGGAATTTATTTTTTCGACTTGGAATTTCATATAAATATTTTATATTGTTTTTGTAAAAGTTATATATAATTGGCGTTTTGTAACCGCGTAATAAGTTTTGGGCTTAGATCTCCTGCTTTGGTGTGTGTCTTAATGTTTTCCCAACAAATTAATGCTTTGGTCACAATTCCTTATTAGAAATAAGGTTTTTTTGTGCCAGCTTATTTGTTATGGACTTTAATACTAATCTAATTTAAAATTAATAATGAAAAAAAACTATTGTTTACAGGTGTTTTTTAATAATTATTTTTGTTATATATTTCCAGTTACCGGACACAGTGTTTGGACAGTGAAAATTAGCTTAATTTATTCCACTAATAACTAATATTATAAATATTAAAATTACTTATGCATTACTAAAAAATATATAACGTATTTTATTTTGCGCTAGGCGCATCAATTAAAATCTTTCATATAAAGGCGGTGTTATTAACGGATTCGTTATTCGACTCATTTTGAAAACAAAACTGTTTAAAGGTTTGCTTATTCTTCTTGTTTGTTTTATAAAAACAAACCTTAGTGCTAACCAGCTACTATCACACTTACCCTAACTGTACTACTCATTAAATGACAGCTCAATTTTTTTCTATTGCACCAAGAGCCACTCAAAAAAAAAATAGCATACCCTTAGGCGAGTTATATGAAGGAATGAATGAATGGAATTACGCTGGGCGAAAATTGATTGCATATTTTTCCTTGGCACATTTTCATCCAAAAATAAAGATTTTTGCTGACTTCGATAAATAATTTACTATCGTAGACCAGTTAATAATACGTGTATGTAAGAATAATACATTCATATATAAATATTTACGAATATAAATCTTTAAGCCTCTAGGAAAGGCGATAGATCCCTCCATTTGGCCAATATGTAATATCTATATATATATACATACATATGCATATGCATATAGCATATTCTTGAACTTAGGCATATGTTGCCCAATAGTTTAATCGTTAATTGTAACCGTTGCTGCTACTCACCTGCTTAAGATTGTGTATTTTACAGAGCGATGGATTCGTCGCCATTTTGAATATTTTTTTTTATTTCCTGCCACCACCACCGCTTACGATCTATGCCGCACAATTTAATATTGTTCACTGAAAAATGACAAATAAAAATGTTTACAAAAATAGGAAATGAAAAGTTTCAAAAATATATTTATATAAATGTCGTAGAATTAAAAATATACGGAGATGAATATTTAAGAAAATATTACGGTGAGTTTTCATGCTAGCATTTCCTTTATACATACTCCTATATATAATACATACCACTGCAGGGGAAACAAATTATTACAAAATGGAATATTCAGACACAAAGTATATATATATATATATATATATCGATGCCCATAGGGATATTACTCCAGCTTACTGAATGCTAGTGGAAGTGCAACACACGGAGATGAAGAACCCGAAACCTCGATTGCCGACTTGACTGTTGCGAAGCGTTTGGTCGCTTGAAGTATCACAAAGTGGAAGGAGTCGATGGCTCACCAGCTGAGCTATTTAAATAAGGCGGGCAAGAAATGACTAAGTCTGATATAGTCGGACAAAAGCGTGACAGACCAGATCCAGAAGAAGGATAGATAGGAAGGATACGCGATTTTCTGCATAATCATAGTAAAATTCCCCTCAATACCTCATATAACATCTAATCTAACGTAATGGTTGAAAAATGACAGCCCATCGTCAACTGATCTGCACACACCACCCTTTTTGTGGATTTCGATATCTCGCAAAAAGCTCGGACAGATTTGGAAAGAGCCTTTCCGAAACGTTCGACACTAAACGAGGTTTCAGACTTCTTCAAACTAATGGTAAAGTAAACTAACGCGAAGTAAATCGCCCCGTTAGATGCGCTTTGCACACAATTGAGTAAGAAGCGACGCGAATGGCTCGAGTATTAAAAAAAGACGAGAAATATCTCATGTCATTGAACAAACAGTCAACCCTCTTGGGTAGCGTGAAAGAGAGTTTAAAATGGGGGTTTCTTGAGAGGCAGAGTCCACAAAGTATAGACCAGTACACAAACAAATGGAGTTTATGGGGACGTTAAAGGTTATAATTTGTAAGTACTGAACAACTTCGTATATTCCAAGATCTTTAACATCAACAACAATGCCAAATCTTGAAATCCAACGCACAATCCATTTGTCCAAAGACATTTGTTAAAGTAACTTAACTGTCTCGTACTACTTTATGGTGTTGAAACGTGGAGGATGACGACATCCGATGAGTCGAAAACTTATGGATCTTCGCCGTCGCTGGCGAGTATGCGATATTCATAGATGTTGACGCACATAGTTCAGCGTATAAGATACAGCGACTAGCCTGGCTAGTTCATGTTGAGCGAATAACAGTACCCATGAGTGGAGTCAATAGAAGGAGAAGCTACTCCACTCCTTCGGAATGATCAAGTGGAGAAGGCTTTCAATTTAATTTTGCTTACAGTCCATAGTTAGAACCTATCGCCTTGATATACACGGTGTGTCCTAAAAATAACCGAACTTTATATTTAAATCATACAAAGTACAGCGCCATCTATTGAAAATTTGCAATATTAAAAAGATACATTCATCCTCTTTCAAACGCACCTAACTTCATGTAAGTCGGATGACAGATGTAAAAGTGACAGCCATTTCAATAAAGCCAAAAGTGTGCTAATGGTTCAAAAATAAAATGGAACAAAGAGCAAATATAAAATTTTGTGACAAACTTGAAAAAAAAAATTAATGAAAATGAGTCGTACGCAAGTTTATACGTGGTTTGCACGATTTAAAAATAGTCGTGAGGATTCAAATGACGACCCTAGAGCAGGACGCCAGAAGCTAGTAATCGTGCTGAACCGGTGGAAAAAGTCCGTGAAATCATTGGTATCGATGCAAATTTTACTACGAGAATGTTGGCTGAGGAATTGAATACGAGTAAAAACACTATTTGGAGAATTTTAACTGAAGATTTGGGGAAAAGACAGGTCTGTGCGCTATTCGTTCCACATGAATTAAATGACGAACAAAAAATCGCTCGAATTTTTAATGAAAAAAGGGATTTCACTCATCGACCATACTCCATATACGGCTGATCTATCAGCATGTGTCTAAGATGAAGAGAGCATTTTATGATGATTTCCCTGCCATTCGAGCAGCCGTAACCGAGGTACTGAAGAACATTTCTATAAATGACATAAAAAATCTATGCATGCGCTGGTTGATCATTCCAAACGTTGTGTTGAAAATGAGTCAAATGGAACCTATTTTGAATAAATAATAACTTTCAAAGACAATATAATGTGTATTTTATTTTATATCCAAAAAGTTCGGTTATTTTTGGGACTCACCGTGTATTTAGTTAAAATTAATTTGGTGTGTGGGCTTTTATAAGCTCAACTAAAAGAATCCAATTGTCAACTGGCCGCAAGATCGCGATATCTTCATTATCACTCCAAAATGTAGAGTGACCTCTGTAAGCTGTCTTTCTGACAAATATCTGGGCTCAATGGAGTACGATGCGAGGTTTTCAATGACAAAGATGTGGCTGTAGCGATATCTAAGACCGTTGATATACGCGCGAGTTAACAGTAATTTAACTAGCTTGAGTGAAAGCTACATGGTTTGCACTCAAGAGAGCATAGCGCGTTGAGAAACTATTTGACTGAGGTTCTAGTAAATAAACAAACAATGGCAAATGCAATAACAGCAATAAATAATTTATTATACGTTTTTTTCTTCTCATTATATTATAACATTTACACATTTATACAATACATATTATGCGACGAGTATATAATAATGTAACTATGTTTAAACACATTTTCCGAGTATTCCATTGATATTTTCATTTTATCTAAGCACTTTTGTGGCAACGTTGATTAACAACAACATAGCCAGCTGCACATTTCGGCTCCAAGGTGAACACACTTTGTACGAAGAATGCCTCGGGACCTATTGTGGTGTTCCTGTTGTTGTTGTTGTTGTTGTTGTTGTTGTTGTTGTTGTTGTTGTTGTTGTTATTTCCTGATTGCTGTGGTCTTTGTGGCATTGAGTCGATCAAAGTACACAACAATAAAATCATTAAACTCCAAATTAATGTACGCATCTTAAAAGTATCTGACTCGTACTGAGCGTCAGTAAGTAAAGCAGACAATGACAATGGATGGCTTAACAAAAACTGCTAAAGATATAAATACGCCGAATCTGTATGTAATTCGGCTAAGCGTTCTCTCACAACTAACCGTTTAGACCAGCGGTCAATAAATTAACACATTGAAATATTTATTTTTGTGTTACCATACCGGCTGATTTGGTTTAAAAGAGCATTCTTATTTAATGTGTTGTTGGGAAGTTGCTGAATAGTCTGGCGAGCTTAACTAGATGCAAAAAGGGAGAGTTCGAAATTTTCAGTTTAGTTGGGGTTTAAATTTGGAAAAGTGTGAGTAGGTATATCTCATGCTTTGATATCCGATACGATTATTCGATTCTTTTTTAAGTATATTTACGACTCGCGCTTTATAACCGCTAAAGTGAATGGTGCAGCTACAGTTTATTCTAAGCCGCCTCCGTATGACCGATAGATTATTATGAGGATCGGAAGGGTTGACTACATTGTCAGGGAGGAGACCGCAAATAGAAAAATTATTTTTCCAAAATTTTGGCTATTGATTTGGCTAAGACTTGAACCCTGGCCTTCCGAATTTTAGTATGTAATGCTAAACACTCGGCTACAAGCACCGTTTAAACAACGCAAAAAGATTTGACATCCGACCGGAGTCTATTTTCGATTTTTTTCCAACAAAATGTAGAGAACTAAAATTTATTATAAGCCGCCTCCGTACAATAAATTTATTTTTATCAAGAGCTTTTATTTCATGCCAGAAATACACTCGAAAAGGTTGACTTTCCTGCACGAGAGGCGTCCACAAATGGAAAAATTAAACCTACACTTTTTTCTATGCTACTTTTGTATATTTCTTTGGGTTGCTACTAGGCCTTATGGTCGTGCGGAGCTTTTTATTTTATGTCAGATGTATATTCGGAAGACTTGACATTTCACGCCAAAGCGCGACCGCCATTAAAAATAATTTTAGAACAATTTACTACAATTTCGAATGTTTGTTTGGCCAGGAATGAAACCTGAAACCTTCCGGTTGTCGGCTGGTAGTGCTAACCACTCGACCAAGGTGCCGATTATTGTTATACCTCTAATTAAATTAAACCTTCAGCAGTACTAACTAACACAAACACATACAAACAAACGAGTATATGCTTGCCAGTTAAATTCTTCGTCTTTGATGTGGGTAACGCTCAAGCGATTATAGCCGAATTAACAATATTGCGGTAGTCTTTACTTTCTTCTGCCATTCGGCGCCAATTGGAGGTGCCAAAGACCTTACGCCACCTGACAGGCTTTCCTCTTCCTTTACCTTCACCAGCGGGTACTGTTTATAATACTTTTATAGCTGTAGTGTTGGCGTTCATCCAATCCACTGTCAGTTGTCCAGTTGCCTTCACCTCACTTAAATTATGTTGATTATTTTATATTGGTTTATCAACCGAAATTTGCAATAAAGGAAAATTTCACGCTTAAGTCGCTGTCAATATTTTTGCCGAAAAACATGTGTTAACAGCAACCAACTTCAAGAAACTTCAGGCGCAGTGTTACCAGTGATCGCTAGTAATTAAATAAAAGTAATTTGTAAACTGACGAAAATCAAATGAATTTATATATTGTATTTTGACTGAATTAATTATATATCTGCACTATTTAAATTTTCAGCGAAAATACCAGTGAATTTTTTTTTTTTTTTTGTTGTTGAATTCAGTGGCAATTCTATTAGCAAGAGACTGGTTTAACCACATGCAGGTTTGGAGAAAGATAAAATATTTATATTTGTGTATGCATTTTACTAACTTGTATGTATATATATATGTAAATATTCATATACATATGTATTTTAAAGTGTTTGCTGCTGTTTAAGTCAAGTTCATGGTAAATAATACTAAGGTAGGCGAGTATTTGCTTTAGCGTTTGACAATTATATATATATATTTTTTTAAATTTTTGCTGCCAATAAAATAAAATCAAATACACAGAGTTCTGCATAAGCAGCGCGATTAGAAGTTGCTATTCGCAAA